TTTCGCTCTTGTTACCCAGGCTGGAGTGCAATGGCGCGATCTCGGCTCACCGCAACCTCTGCCTCCTGGGTTCAGGCAATTCTCCTGCCTCAGCCTCCTGAGTAGCTGGGATTACAGGCACACGCCACCATGCCCAGCTAATTTTTTTGTATTTTTAGTAGAGACAGGGTTTCACCATGTTGACCAGGATGGTCTCGATCTCTTTGACCTCGTGATCCACCCGCCTCTGCCTCCCAAAGTGCTGGGATTACAGGCTTGAGCCACCGCGCCTGGCCTAGAACATTTTTATTACTCCAGAAAGAAACTGTGTCCATCAGCTGCCACTCCCAATTTCTCGAAGAATCCCAGTCCTACTAATCTACTTTTTTCTTTTTCTTTTTTTTTTTCTTTTTCTTTTTGAGACAGTTTCACTCTTGTCATCAGGCTGGAGTGCAGTGGCATGATCTCAGCTCACTGCAACCTCTGCCTCCCAGGCTCAAGGGTTCTCCTGCCTCAGCTTCCAGAGTACCTGGGACTACAGGCATGTGCCATCATACCTGGCTAATCTTTGTGTTTTTAGTAGAGACGGAGTTTCTCCATGTTAGTGGCCAAGATGTTCTTGATCTCCTGTCCTTGTGATCTGCCCATCTCAGCCTCCCAAAATGCTGGGATTACAGGTGTGAGCCACGGCACCCAGTTCTTATTAATTTACTTTCTGTCTCTATCCTGTAGATTACAAATTTACCTATTCTTTTCTTTTTACTTTTTTTTTTTTGCGCTGGCGGGGGGCGGGGGACACCGAATCTCACTATATTGTCCAGGCTTAACTTGAACTCCTGGGCTCAGGTGATCCTTCCCACTTAGTAGCTGGGTTCACAGTAAGATTTCCCTATTCTTGACATTTCTATAAATGGGTGCTTGTCATATGTGATTTTCTGTGACTGGCTTTCACTTAGCATAATGTCTTCAAGCTTCATTCATGTTGTAACATGTATTAGTTCTCCATTCCTTTTTATGGCTGAATAATATTTTATTGTATGGCTATACCACATTTTGTTCATCCGGTCATCAATTGATGGATATTTGGGTTGTTTCTACTTTTTTACTACTGTGAGTAGTGGTGCTAAGGACATTTGTATACAGATTTTTATGTGGACATTTGTTTTGTGCATATATACCTATGAGGGGAATTGCTGAGGCCTATGGTAACTCTGTGCTTAAAGGAAGACTTTTAGGCCAGGTGCAGTGGCTCACGTCTATAATTCTAGCACTTTGGGAGGCCAAGGCAGGTGGATTAGTTGAGGTTAGTAGTTCGAGACCAGCCTGGCCAACATGGTGGACCCCCATCTCTACTAGAAATTCAAAAATTAGCCGGGCATTGTGGCACATGCCTGTAATCCCAGCTACTCAGGAGGCTGAGGCAGAAGAATCACTTGAACCCAGAGGCAGAGGTTGCAGTGAGCCGAGATCACATCACTGCATTCCAGCCTGGGTAACAGAGCAAGACTCTGTCTCAAAAAATAATAATAATAAAAAGGAAGAGTTTTGAGTCATCCTCATGACAGAGGCTGCAGAAAAATGTGAGGTTATCAAGAAAGTGGAGTTTAAAAAGGGAGGAGTCAAGGATTAAGTTTTAAGAACTCCCTCATTTCTGTGGTAGGCAGGGTCAGATGCATAAGGTGGCAGATACCAAAGGCATCCATCTCCTTCGAAAAATCTGCCCTTATACTGCATTTACTCTTCAAATCTGTATGTGGTGTGACAGCTGAAAACTGGACTATGTATGTTGTTGGGAAAGGAAAGCTGAAGCAAATTAAAACTGAGCACTTCCTACTTTTTTTGGCATCAAATAGCAATTCCTCATTATCTCTGTTTAACTTCCCCCATCCCCTACCTTTACACACGCGCGCGCGCACACACACACACACTCACTCACACACATGTGTGCACAGCCTAAAATCTGAAGTGCCCCTAGAAATATATTTCTCTATCTGGAGCTGAAGGAGAAAGGGGAAGATTCTAGATCTAAAAGGGATGCATGTCTCTCAGCACTTTTTTTTATTTGAGACGGAGTTTCACTCATGTTACCCAGGCTGGAGCGCAACGGCGCGATCTCGGCTCACCGCAACCTCCGCCTCCTGGGTTCAGGCAATTCTTCTGCCTCAGCCTCCTGAGTAGCTGGGATTACAGGCACACACCACCATGCCCAGCTAACGTTTTGTATTTTCAGTAGAGACAGGGTTTCACCATGTTGACCAGGATGGTCTCGATCTCTTGACCTCGTGATCCACCCGCCTCGGCCTCCCAAAGTGCTGGGATTACAGGCTTGAGCCACCGCGCCCGGCAGCACTGTTTTTGAGAACAGAGTCTTGCTCTGTCTCCCAGGCTGGAGTGCAGTGGCGCAATCTCGGCTCATTGCAACCTCTGCCTCCCGGCTTCAAGCAATTCTCCTGCTTCCGCCACCTGAGTAGCTGGGATTACAGGCACCCGCCATCATGCCTGGCTAATTTTTGTATTTTTAGTAGAGACAGGGTTTCACCATGTTAGCCAGATTGGTCTCGGAACTCCTGACCTCAGGTGATCCACCCACCTCAGCCTTCTAAATTGCTGGGATTACAAGCATGAGCCTCCACGCCCAGCCTCACAGCACTGTTTATGAAAGCTTTTCACATCCAGAATCTCATTTGATTCTTGTTCTACTATACAAACAGTTTATCTCTCCTTGGTAATGTTTTGTTTTGTTGTTTGTTCATGTTTTTCTTTGAGATGGAGTCTTTCTTTGTTGCCAAGGCTGGAGAGTAATGGCATGATCTTGGCTCATTGCAACCTCTGCCTCTGGGTTCAAGTGATTCTTCTGCCTCAGCCTCCTGAGTAGCTGGGATTACAGGAGCCTACCACCACACCTGGCTAATTTTGGTATTTTTAGTAGAGACAGCGTTTCCCCATATTGGCCAGGCCAGTTTCGAACTCCTGACCTCAAGTGATCCACCTGCCTCAGCCTCCCAAAGTGCTGGGATTATAGGCATGAGCTGTTGTGCCCAGCCTAATGTTTTGGGTTCAGTTTTTTAAATTTGTCTTTGTGTGTTACCTAAACATCATGGACTAGCAATCTGATTTCTTACCATTTCTTGTATTTAAGTCAGTATTACAACGTTATGTTCTTTTACCTTTGGGAAGCTTCATTAAAACTAATCTTTTCTTGGTTAATTAAGAGTACTTGATACTCTTGTACTACAGAGTATCAAAGTACTACAAGAGTATCAAGGTCCTGAGTATGTGTTTGTTTTGACTGCATTACAGGCATGGTGGCTCCTGCCTGTAATTCCACCACTTTGGGAGGCGAAAGCAAGAGGATTGCTTGAGCTGAGGATTTGGAGACCAGCTTTGGCAACATATCAAAACTTCGTCTCCACCAAAAAAAGAATTAGCCGGGTGTGACTGGGCACTGTGGCTCACGCCTGTAATCCCAGCACTTTGGGAGGCCGGAGTGGGCAGATCATGAGGTCAGAATTCGAGACCAGCCTAGTCAAGATGGTGAATACCCATCTCTACTGAAAACACAAAAATTAGCCAGGTGTGGTGGCGTGCACTTGTCCCAGCTGCTTGGGAGGCTGAGGCAGAAGAAGTGCTTCAGCCCAGGGTGCGGAGGTTTCAGTGAGCTGAGATCATGCCACTGCACTTCAGCCTGGGCAACAGAGCAAGATTCTGTCTAAAAAAAAAAATGCTAGATGTGGTGGTGTGCACCTGTCCCAGCTACAGGAGGCTGAAGCAGGAGGATCACTTGAGTCTGGCTTCAGTGAGGAATGATTACACTACTGTACTCTAGCCTGGGTGACAGAGCAAGATCCTATCTCAACAAAACCAAAAACAAAAAAAAAAAAAATAGGAAAGCATGAAGTATCTCATCTGATTAACCATTTTCTGCCTTGGTAAGGTCAAAGCAGATCCCCCTCCCCCCACTTAGGCAAGATTTATTTCAAGGCCTGTAAACATTCAGACTAATCCGAATGGTCAAAGTGTATTTTGTTGTTGTGGAAGCAGCATGTTTCATAGACTAAATCTAAAAAATTACAAGCCAAGAAACTCTGGTCCTGAGTATATGTGTGTTTTGACTACTTATATAATATAGTGTTACAAACTACTTAGATATAAGTGTTTCAGCAAGTAACCTGTTGCTACCATTCAATGCAGGAAATGAAACATTACCAACACAGTGGAAGCTCTCTTTCTAGATATCCCCCCACCTCCATCCTCTCAGGTAACCATGTAATATTTTAGGCAGGTCATATTTAACCTCCTCAGGTGTGGTGTTAGGATGTATAACAAGAAGCTGATAGCTGCCCTGCTTACCTCAAAGGGTTGTTGTGAGAATCAAATGAGTGATGACTGTGAAAACACTTGGAAAATCTCAAGATGCAGGATAGAAATCAGGAAGGATTCTGCAAAGGGGCTGGTTTAGTAGTGTCTCGTGCTAGCCTAGGTAGAGAGAGCTCAAATATTTAGTAAGCAGTAAAGGAATGGAATTCTACTTTTTTCCTATCCTCCCTCAAAAAGGAAAAGTCTGTATATGAAATTTTCCAGAATCCCTCAGTATGTATTCATTCAACAATTATTTGCTGAGTAAATACTGTGGGATAACATGGGGATATAGCAGTGAACAAAACAGGTGAGGTTCATGCCCATGAAAACAAACAAAATCGTCTTAATTTTCTAATTTACATCAGGTCTATCCTTGGATGCTTTAGACAGCCTTATTCTCATCTACATTTGCTGGCCCTTCATGTTTAAATTGAGAATTGTTTATAAGGCAGTATTTTAATTGAGGTTAGACAGATGTGTATTAAATTTAAGGTATTTATTTTTCTACAAATTCATAGTCTATTAAGGAGAAATTTTTGGTGCCAGATAATGCTGGCATTTAAAGTAGAGTTTATTTTCTTCATTGTAGCCAGTTTGAACTGAGGCAGCCTTTCTAACCTATCAAGGTTTTAAACTTTATCCCTTCCTTTGATTTGTGTCAGGGTGAATCGTTTGATGTAAAAGGCTTGACTACATAATCTACATCTGCCCTAATGCTGTCATCTGGAGTAGAGACTCAGCCAGTTCCACTTGATTCCTCCATGTCTGCCGTGGTACAGGAATTATACTCTGAACTCCCAGTAAGCGTCTCCAAAGAGCTTCATGCTGACCCTGAGCCAAGTGTGATTCCAGATGTAAAACCTGGAGCCTCAAGCTCTCTTTTAAGTCAGAGTAGGGCATTGCCCTTGGAGCTGCAGAGGACTCATGCGGAGAGTTGTTGTGAAGAAAACTATGAGACCTTGGATCATGGGAGTGAGCCTGGGCGATATGGGCTAGTGGACTCCACAGCAGGAGGTTCTGTGGCTTCTGGGATCTTGGATAGGGCAAACAGAAGCAAGAGCATGGAGCCAAAGGTCTTCAGAGATCAAGGGGGGCAGGCGAAAATTATAAAAGAACCCTCTGAGGGAACAAAGGAAGATCCACATCAACATTCCACAGCTGCTGAAGAAAAGATTAGCCCAAGTCAGGTAAGAAATGAAATCTGGATTCAGAGGAGTTGAGGGCGAATGTCAGCTTTCTCTTGATAAAATATAGATGCTGACGGTTAGCTTATGATTTATTCTTGAAACATTTTCAAAATGTTGATTTCGAGGTTCCCTTTTTTGATGATCTTTTAAAACATTTGTGTCACATCAGACACTTGAAGAGAGGAAGTGCTTAGTGAAAAAGTGTCATTTCTCTGAAGCCGCAACTGTATATGGAATGTTGAGTTTGAAAATCATGTGGTATTTCAGCATTTGATGTTAAGAAATGGTATCTAGCCGGGCGCGGTGGCTCGAGCCTGTAATCCCAGCACTTTGGGAGGCCGAGGTGGGTGGATCACGAGGTCAAGAGATCGAGACCATCCTGGTCAACATGGTGAAACCCCGTCTCTACTAAAAATACAAAACATTAGCTGGGCATGGTGGCGTGTGCCTGTAATCCCAGCTACTCAGGAGGCTGAGGCAGGAGAATTGCCTGAACCCAGGAGGCGGAGGTTGCAGTGAGCCGAGATCGCGCCATTGCACTCCAGCCTGGGTAACAAGAGCGAAACTCCGTCCCAAAAAAAAAAGAAATGGTATCTATACTCAGTCCTTACATTTTGGTAGGTTGAAGTGAGGTATTGCAGAGAAACCTTTGAAGGGAGGCTTTTTTTTTTTTTTTGAGAGGGTCTCATTCTATCACCCAGGCAAGAGTACAGTGGTGTAATCTTGGCTCACTGCAACCTCTGCCTCCCAGGTTCAAGCAATTCTCCTGCCTCAGCCACCCAAATAACTGTGATTACGGCTTGAACCACCGTGCCAAGCCAGTGTACACTTGAAATACCCAGAGAGGTGGGTTAGTTGAGAGTAATAGTGAGCTGTGATAGTGTGATGTTCTCAAATTCCTTTTTTTTTTTTTTTTTTTAAAAAAAAAAAGGCTAGGCCGGCCTTAAATTCCTGGGCCCAAGCAATCCTTCCACCTCAGCTTCTTAAAGTGCTGAGATTACAGGCATGAACCATTAAGCTGAACTCCCCCAAATTCCTCTTTTTTTTTTTTTTTTTTTTTGACACAGAGTCTTACTCTGTTGCCCAGTCTAGAGTGCAGTGGCATGATCTAGGCTCACTGCAACCTCTGCCTCCGGGGTTCAAGTGATTATTCTGCCTCAGCAGCTAGAATTACAGGTGCCTTCCACCATGCCCTGCTAATTTTTGTAGTTTTAGTAGAGGTGGGATTTCACCATGTTGACCAGGCTGGTCTCGAACCCCTTATCTCAGATGATCTGCCCACCTCGGCCTCCCAAAATGCTGGGATTACAGGCAGGAGCCACCATGCCTGGCCAGGCGCTCTAAATTCTTAAAAGGAATGTACCTGCCCAGTGAACTCTCTGCTCTAGATGGTTTTCTAAGCCAGGGGTCGGAAAACTTTTTCTATCAGGGTCCACGTAGTAAATATTTTAGGCTTTGTAGGTTATATGGTCTCCTTTTTTTTTTTTCTTTGAGATGGAGTCTTGCACTGTCGCTGGGCTGGAGTGCAGTGGTGTGATCTCACCTCACTGCAACCTCCACCTCCTGGGATCAAGCGATTCTCCTGCCTTAGCCTCCCGAGTAGCTGGGATTACAGGCACCAGCCACCGCGATCAGCTAATTTTTTTGTATTTTTAGTAGAGATAGGGTTTCAAAATGTTGACCAGGCTGGTCTCAAACTCCTGTCCTGTGATCCACCCGTCTCGGCCTCTCAAAGTGCAGGATTACAGGCATGAGCCACTGGGCCTAGCCACATATGTTCTCTTTTGGAATAACTCAGCTTTGCTATTGTAGCATAAAGTGGATAGAGGCAATACGTAAATGAATGAATGTGGCTGTATTCCAATAAAATTTTATTTATTAGCACAGCCTGCTGACCTTAGGGCTGTAGTTTGCCAACCCCTGCTCTAGACCCACTAACAAATTCATGTTCTTTGGGCTGCCTGGAGTAGGCTCCCATCCCGCTCTTGATACTTACATCATTTCTTTTTTTTTTCTTGAGACGGAGCTTCACTCATGTTACCCAGGCTGGAGTGCAATGACACGATCTCGGCTCACGGCAACCTCCGCCTCCTGGGTTCAGGCAATTCTCCTGCCTCAGCCTCCTGAGCAGCTGGGATTACAGGCACGCACCACCATGCCCAGCTGATTTTTTGTATTTTTAGTAGAGACGGGGTTTCACCATGTTGACCAGGATGGTCTCGATCTCTTGACCTCGTGATCCACCCGCCTCGGCCTCCCAAAGTGCTGGGATTACAGGCTTGAGCCACCGTGCCCAGCCACATCATTTCTTTACACAGGATGAAAACCAGTTAATTGTTGTTAGTGGGCTTCATACATTGACTGTGATTAGGAATGAACGAACATTAAGTAACATTTAAACATGTTATCTGAGTTTATGCTGTGATGCCCTTTTAAAAATATAATTAAAAAAAAAAGAAAGTAAAAATACAATTAAATAGGTAAAAGACTAAGGATCCGGAAGTTTTTATTGTTACTTCTTGGTGTGATGGGCTGAGTCTAACAAGAAAAGATTCTTTTTTTTTTTTTTTTCTTTTTTCTTGAGACGGAGTTTCGCTCTTGTTACCCAGGCTGGAGTGCAATGGCGCGATCTCGGCTCACCGCAACCTCTGCCTCCTGGGTTCAGGCAATTCTCCCGTCTCAGCCTCCTGAGTAGCTGGGACTACAGGCACGCGCCACCATGCCCAGCTGAATTTTTGTATTTTTTTAGTAGAGACAGGGTTTCACCATGTTGACCAGGATGGTCTCGATCTCTTGACCTCGTGATCCACCCGCCTCGGCCTCCCAAAGTGCTGGGATTACAGGTGTGAGCCACCGCGCCCGGCCGCTTTTTTTTTTTTTTTTTTTTTAACCAATTCAGGGACCTGCCACTTCAGGAGAGAAAGATTTCTTAATGTAATATTATATAAAAGCATGTGTAATAACACATAAAGTATAATGAATACAACACCCATATGCATTTATGTATGTATATCTGCAGACATACATGCACGTTTACATAACAACCAACCTAAGAACTAGATTACTATCTCCCTGTTTTTTTTTTTTTTTCTTTTGATACAGAGTCTCACTCTGTCACCAGACTCCGGGCTGGAGTGCAGTGGCGAGATCTTGGCTCACTGCAACCTCCACCTCCCCAGTTCAAGCAATTCTCCTGCCTCAGCTTCCCAAGTAGCTGGGACTACAGGTTCACGCCACCACGCCCAGCTAATTGTTGTATTTTTTAGTAGAGACGGGGTTTCACCATGTTGGCCAGGATGGTCTCAATCTCTTGACCTTTTGATCCGCCCGCCTTGGCCTCCCAAAGTGCTGGAATTACAGGCATGACCCACCGCACCCGGCCCTCCCTGTTCTTTTTTTAAAGCATCCCTTTTCTGCCTCCCAGCTCCACCAGAGGTATATTCCATTTTGAATTGTATAAAGCAGAATGAAATTTAATAGATACAAATGTTAATGTTTTGTAGTTGGTTTCAAAAAGTGATCTCCACAAGTGAAAAGAAACATAAGTACTTAATGGGGAAATGGTTGCATACCATTTAAGATTTGCAAACCCCAGGCATCCCCTGATCTCAATTTATAAGAGCTCTTGCTAGATTGGCAAAATATCAGACAGTCAAAAGACAACTGACAAGTTGAAGAACATATTTGCAATGTGTATCAGAGATAAAGGGCCTATATTTGTAATATATAAAGAACTCTTGAATTGAGAAATGAAGAACCAAAGCCAAATAGAAAAATGAGAAGACTTGGGCTGGGCGCTGTGGCTCACGCCTGTAATCCCAGCACCTTGGGAGTCCAAAGCAGGTGGATCATGAGATCAGGAGTACAAGACCAGCCTGACCAAGATGGTGAAACCCCATCTCTACTAAAAATACAGAAATTAGCAAGGTCTGGTGGCAGGCATGTGTAATCCCAGCTACTTAGGAGGCTGAGGCAGGGAATTGCTTGAACCTGGTATGTGAATGTTTCAGTGAGCCGAGGTCATGTCACTGTACTCCAGCCCGGGCGACAGAGAGGCTTTTATCTTCAAAGAAAAAGAAAAATGAGAAGGGAGAGAGAGAGAGCAAGAAAGAGAGAGAGAGAGAGAGAGAGAGAGAGAGTGAGTGTGTGTGTGTGTGTGTGTGTATGTAACAAGTGTTTGGTGGTTAAACATAAGAGATGGTCAGCCTTATGTAATTAGAGAAATGTAAAGTTAACCTGATAGACCACCTTCTTCCCTTTAAGGGTACCACTTTTTGACTATCAGATGGGTGAAAAGGAAAATATAGGCCAGGCGTGGCGGCTCACACCTGTAATCCCAGCACTTTGGGAGGCCGAGACAGGTGGATCACCTGAGGTCTGGAGTTCAAGACCTGCCTGACCAACATGGAGAAACCCCAACTCTACTAAAAAAAAAAAAAAAAAAAAAGAAGAAGAAAGAAAATGTATGACAATGTTGTCTGGTTAGCAAGGCTGTGAGGAAACACATTCTAATGCATTGCTGGTGTGAATGCAAACTGATGCAACCTTTCTGAATAATTTGGCAACATTTAACAAAACTACTGGTGCATTGACCTATTGACCCAGCACTTCAAGGAAACCCTACCTTAAAAGATGCACTTCGGGCCGGGCGCGGTGGCTCAAGCCTGTAATCCCAGCACTTTGGGAGGCCGAGGCGGGTGGATCACGAGGTCAAGAGATCGAGACCATCCTGGTCAACATGGTGAAACCCCGTCTCTACTACAAATACAAAAATTCAGCTGGGCATGGTGGCGTGTGCCTGTAATCCCAGCTACTCAGGAGGCTGAGGCAGGAGAATTGCCTGAACCCAGGAGGCGGAGGTTGCGGTGAGCCGAGATCGCGCCATTGCACTCCAGCCTGGGTAACAAGAGCGAAACTCCGTCTCAAAAAAAAAAAAAAAAAAAAAAAAAAAAAAAAGATGCACTTCTAGCAGTATAACAGTGCATATGCACGAGGTTGTTCTTTTCAGTAGTTTATAATTGCAAAATATTGGAAACTGCCTAAATGCCCGTATATAGGAGCAGTTAAATAAATTATGGTATAAGAGATGTCCATACATGGAGTATTATGCAGCTGTAATAAAGTATGAGGAAGACCTCTATATGCTGATATGGAGTGATTTCCAGGTGTGTCAGGGGTCCCCAAAACCACATGCAGGTTTTGAGATTTGCTGAAACTCACAGGACTTGGCATTTAGTTGTTCTCACAGCTACAATTTATTGCAGTGAAAAGATAAAAAGAAAATCAGCAAAAGGGAAGGGGTCATAGAGCAAAGTCCAGAGAAAATCCGGCGTAAGCTTCCAAGAGTCCTTTCCTAGTGGAGTCACACACACTTAACCTCCTCAAGGAATAAATTGTGACAACACATATGAAATAATGTCTACCATGGAAGTTTGTTAGAGGGTCAGGGCCCAGGGATTTTACTGGGGACTGGTTGCGTGGACATCCTCTGCCTGGCACATAGCAAAATTTTCGACTCCTAGAAGGAAAGCAGGTGTTTAGCATTAAGAAAAAGAAAAGGAAAAGGAAAAAACAAGAAAGGGTAGGAGGAACTGGCACTTCTGTAAGTATATCTTTTGGTATAGTTCTAACTTCATACTTGAAAAATAACTAGCCGGGCGCGGTGGCTCAAGCCTGTAATCCCAGCACTTTGGGAGGCCGAGGCGGGTGGATCACGAGGTCAAGAGATCGAGACCATCCTGGTCAACACGGTGAAACCCTGTCTCTACTAAAAATACAAAAAATTAGCTGGGCATGGTGGCGCGTGCCTGTAATCCCAGCTACTCAGGAGGCTGAGGCAGGAGAATTGCCTGAACCCGGGAGGCGGAGGTTGCGGTGAGCCGAGATCGCGCCATTGCACTCCAGCCTGGGTAACAAGAGTGAAACTCCGTCTCCAAAAAAAA